AATTCTTGGGCTACTCTTTTACCAACGAATAGTGGGATTAACTGTCACATTATGACGCCCCCACGGCTGTTTGGTGGGACAGGGATTCGAACCCGCCACCCTCAGATTGCGAGTCAAGCGCCTTTATTATAAAGTAACAAAAATTATAACCTATTTTTTTTATAACTAAAAAAAAAGTTGTACCTTTTCAATGTGTTTGGACTGTCGAATTTATTACTTTGTGACGAAGCCATTAGTCATCGTTTGGCGTCTGGGAAGAAGAGGTTAAATTAAGATAAAATTTCATATCTTTTTTATTAAAGAAGTGGTGACATCGAAACAGGTGCATTTGGAAACTAGATACATTCTCTAAGATAATGAAACCAAAATCTCTCTTTATCAGTCCTATTCATGTTCTAGCGAAAAATATTTTTAAGATGATGATGATGTGTAAATCCCGCGTAAAATCAGTAAGAACCAAGTAAAAACTTAACACAAAAAATATATTCATTTTACAGCCATTAGTTTAAGAAACTTTTTTGAGAGTATTATGTTCAGTTCGTATGACTATACTAATTCCATTCAATTATAGTTGAACAATGATTCCCCAGCTTTTTATACTTGAAACGAGCTATTTATTTTCGTGAAATTTTGATATTACATAGAGGGGGCAACAATCGTTCTACTGCATGAGAGGTAGGCATACTTCACAGAACAAATAATATTTCTCATCCTGTATATATTGAGAGTGGTCACTAAAAAGCTCTCAGTCCCAAATAAGATACACCACAGAAGCATTAGTGTAAAAATCTGGAACACATTGAATCAAACGCTTCGAAATCTATAAATTATATCATCAGTGAGCTGTAAAAATATATACAATAAAGATGATACACGAAATATCATTAGTTATAATTTTTCATGAAAAATTGGAAGGGTATTAATTAAGTACATGAAAAATATAAGTGGCAAAACCTCACGCCAATTAAAAATACGTACGTGCCTTTGAACATATAGACATACAACAAAACCAGTTAGAAAATTATCCTATCAGTATTCACAGTGAAAATAATCAACCACTGTTTCTGTTCGTAATTTCATAATTAGGTTACAACAGCGGAAGTCGCGTGACGCTGCTGGCGCGTTGGCGCTGGTAGCGTGCGTGATGAGTTTCTCGAATGATCGGGGAAGTCCGACTGTGTTCGAGATACCCTCTTCGTTAGTATATAAGCCTGTCAGAGAAAGCCAGCAGAGATAAATGAAGAGAGAGCAGTAGTTACTTTGAGTTCCGTGTAATTTATGATTCTGTTAGTTTCGAGCTATAAAGCTGTAAAGTGTGTGTTTTTTACTCGTCGAGACAGAAGTTATCTAGATTGGGAATCACTGTGTTTTATAGCGTGTATTATAAAAGTAGATGCACAACAATTATAATATGAATGATACACTACAAAATGTCCCCCAGTGGGGCAATAATAGGTTTACGTACTTACAATGCTAAAATTCTGGGCTCGAATCTCCGTAGTGTACAGAGTGCAGATAGTTTATTGTACAATTTTTCGCAAAAAATCAAACACTACACAATCATTTTTATATATATCCAGCTTTTTTCCTCACACTTTCTAGGCTATTAATGAAATATAAACTTTTCGAAATACCCCCTCAACAAAAAAAGAATAACAAACACTGACTGAAAAAAATTCTTCTGTTGCTATAAGTTTGAGAAGCAAAACAAAATCACTAATAAACCAAATAATACGTGTTTTATAACATTCAGTTTAAAAGCTAAATAAAATTTGTTGTTATATTTTAACCAACACATTACGTTATTAACATAGTTCTTAAACAGTTATCAAACTATCATATATTAACAATCGTATTGAACAAGAAATATTGTCTTTGCCAAAGTGTTTAACATTATTAATACTGTTATATTGGTTGTTGAAAATTATGTTATGAATACGTTTTTATTATTTTACAAATTCATAATAATTGGGCATCTTATCTAAATATACGGTGGGTTGAGTACTTTATATTAAAACGAATCTGGAGCCTCACCAGGTCGTTACATTTCATGTAGTCATGTTCAATTATGCTCTATCTGACGACCGTGCATCTTGACAACAGGCCTGCAGCGTAAGTTTCAATGTAAAAGGATCCGTCATAAGATTGTCGTGTCAAAAGCGTACCCCTCCTCCTTGCTTGCTTTCCATAAGCCATCTAGTTTATGAGTATGAATGTTTCCCAGCACCTTATTCAATAGTTCAATATCACACAGGAACCCATCACAGCTGCGTCTTGGCGACTTGACCGGTAAGTCTTCATATTTAATAGTATAAATACCCATTTCATTCTACAATTGTTTGAGTTATGCAATAGTTAAATAGGAGGTATAAATGAAAGCCTTATATTGATGAGCACATACCCTTTTGGCTTCGTTTCCAGATAGAGATCCTTCTTGATTATGATGCCTGGGACATGTGAACGTCTTTTGGTATTAACGGCAATTCATAAGTAGTACGATTCCACCGAAAATTTATTGCGCTTGGAAAAGCTATGTAAACAGCTCTTTACAACGCAAAATATTCATACACCAGATCATAAAGATGTGTAGATATTGGGTATTTAGAATTTCTAAGCAGATGACATCCCTTTTACTTAAGGATATTGTGAAAAAATGGAATATATATATCAACATAGTGAACCAGGACCATCCAGGAAGAGACCCTCAACAAGTTGTGCTCCAGTCATTGTAAGTAAAGTGTGGTGTCTTTTAACAGATAAGAATTTTACGAACAAAGTAAACAATGTCAAAATGTAGTTCCGATATATGCCGTTCCACCGCAACTTTAAATCGATTGTGGTTGTCATGCTACTTGCTGATTTGCATATTCAGAATCGTTTTATTATGACATACTCAGTCTTCTGTAGTATATTTATAATCTAAACAAATATTAAAATATATGAGTTCGGTTAGCTCTAATTATAAATGTAATACCTATTCGTATTAATGCATTAATATTTTTTATTTATAGGTAGCGTTACATTTGAGAAATTAACAAACTTGGATTACTCGGGAACAACTTATTTTTCTATCTTTAATGTTTCCCTGTACGAGTGTCAGAGCTGGTGCAAGGATGAAGTGAACTGCGTGGCCGCTCTCTTTACTTTTGTCGTGAATCCTTTTGCCCCTGTTCAAGACACTATGTGCATCTTACAAAACAAGACTGCATCTATTAAACATTCAGTTTTACCACAGCGCAGAGTGAATACGTACTATCTTAACAAAATCCACATTAGTTCAGGTATGTATTTTCATTTATACAGGAAGTATAGCGTATTTGCTGTTACATTTTAGCGATTAAAAATCTCATTTAAATTCCCTTTGTTCAATGATTTGTATTTCCTCAATTCGTATAAAATGTTTTTTTATGATAGTTAAAGGTCTTAGCCACTCCATGCATAGAATGAAGAGAACTTAATTTTTTTCCATGTCTTCAAACAGTTTATAAATCTAAAGACTATAAGACCAATAGGCCAAAAATTTGTAATAAAAATCGGGTTAAGTGGAGGAAGGATTATTTTTCCACAAACCTCCTAATTTGTCCATTGCGGATTCAAAATCAGAGGCGTGTAAAAATAACATAGACCACTTCCCTCGAGACGTTTTATTCAATATCAAAACTCATCAGTTGAGCTAGACAATGAGAAGATTCTTTAAAACGCTACTTTAAAAGTTACGGTGTAAACTCCGAAACCTGGTGGAGCATTAGAAATCAATTGTCCTAAAATGTGTTATAAAAATCATTTTAACTGCAGATTTCTTTGCTCCACATTCTCTTTAGTTTGTCAATTGTGGATTCAAAATCAGCGACTTATGGGAGACTAAAGATTGGTATGGAATACTATTTTTACACGCCTCTACTTTTGGATCCGCTATGAACAAATTAAGAAGAATGTGAATTAAAAAACTACATCTGCAGTTAACCTGGTTTTTATCATAAATTTTTGCTTCTAATATTTCGCCATCTTTCAGCGTCTTACAAATAGCGAATTTAGGTTCGCATAAAATCATTTCTGTATTTGCTTTCTTTAGATGATTACTTCCTCATTTTGTAAAACTAAAATATTTGGACTAAATATTGTCTAAATTTAAGTTATTATCTGATTGTGATATGTTTTGTTCTTTGTAAGAGCTGACGTGTTGTGTTTATCTTCTATAAATCGAGCTGGTTTTACTTTTATTTATAGTATGTAACTTAAGTTGCATATTTTTCCTGTGGAAAATATAATAGGAAACCGAAAAAAGATATTTATATTTGCCTAAAATGACCTGCTAAATGTGGTAGTATTGCTAATTAATATCTGTTAGTTTTCAGTTTGCTATTCGATATTAAACATTAATTTGTAAAAGGGATTAGAAATTTGTAAACTGAAAGTGTAACGTTCATGTAATAATTTTTTACTTAATATTTAAATATTTATTATTATTTTTTTACTTTCTATGGAAAATTATCTCAACCAATACAAAAAAAAAATTAAAGGTATAAAAATCAATGTTTAAAGCAAAATTCGGGATTCTCATCATGCATGTTAGAAATTAAACATTTAACTAAGAAAAAATATTGGCTAAGCTATTTTTAAAATTTCATCATAATAAAATATTTAATAAATTATTTCAGGAACATCAAATGCTTTAAGAAACAAAACTGGTTAACGTTTCAGTTAGAGAATTTGTATTTGTGAATTTTCAGCCTTTTTTCTTACATGTTGCATGTTTTTGTTGAATACTCTAAAAACTTTCTTAAGTTTTATAACAGCTAGAATTTGAACTCGTTTTCAAATAAAAGTTTGATCGTTGGTTATCTTCCTGTATGTCTTGTGCGTAACCGTTTGAGTTTGAGTGGGAACGTCTGCATTACTACTTACATTTCTCTTGTTAGATCTTGAATGTTTTCAGAAGGGGTATCCAAGTTTTGCTGACTTCCATGTTAGGTTGACTGGGTGTATTATCAATTAGGTAAATGTAGGAAGCTTCTTTTATCTTTTTTTTTTCTCGTATATGATTCATACCCTATTTTTTCAGTATTACTTCATTTTATATTATGGCCTTCTTCTCTTGCGTGATGGCTTATTACAAGTACATCAACACCACCAAGTCTTGTGTGTATATCGTGCTCCTGAATTCTAATATTTTTTGGTCTTTTTGTTTCTTAAATGCATTTGTATCTATATTTACAGATAATGCTCTCAATGGTATTTTTCCTGTCCATTAGGCCTTTAGGTAGTTTTTGATATGAGCTAACTACGATCGTATTATGCTGTTATGTAAGATCGTTTCCCAAGTTCAAATTAACTTCTGCTTCAATATTTTGCTAACTGAAGAGTTAGTTCGTTTAACAGGTGTCAAAAGTTATTTTTTTATATTTTTCAACTTATGACAGATAGTTTATTACTATAATCTTCCGGCACTTCATTATTTTACATTTCAAATGTACCTGTGATACTCGCAAAGGCTTTGACTGATGTGGTAAATGGGAGCTATAAGTTTCAATGTTATTATTAAAGAAACAGCTACAGGTACTGTTATGTTCTTAGGTCCTGCATTTATTGTTAGATGCTTTGATTAATTTCGTAGAGAATTTTCAAAAAAAAAATCACTGTAACAATATATATGAAAGTCAAATGAAACACTGAACAATATTATTTTTTTATCTATTTCCAAAGGGAGGTTATGTAACCGGCTTTGCGCTTTTGAAAGAGTTCCGAATAATTTTCTTCGTGGTTTGGACAAAGCTATTTTCTACACATCGACTAAGAATGCTTGCTTAGCATCGTGTTTGAATGAGCTTCGGTTTGTGTGTCGTTCTGCAGAGTTTAACTACATAACCTCAGAGTGTCATCTCAGCGAGTACGACCGGCGCTCACCAGGTGTCTTCGTAGAGCTGGTGGAGAAACCAGGTGTTGATTATTTTGAAAACACGTGTTTGCAACGTAAGAATCCTATATCTTTGCGTATATGACTTTTATTTTTAAAACTTGTCTCTCAAACTATCATGAATATAAAAGTTTGTTTGTTTGTTTTGGAATTTCGCGCAAAGCTACACGAGGACTATCTGCGCTAGCCGTCCCTAATTTAGCAGTGTAAGACTAGAGGGAAGGCAGCTAGTCATCACCACCCACCGCCAACTCTTGGGCTACTCTTTTACCAACGAATAGTGGGATTGACCGTCACATTATAACGCCCACACGGCTGAAAGGACGAGCATGTTTGGTGGGATGAGGATTCGAACCCGCGACCCTCAGATTGTGAGTCGAGCGCCTTATCCACCTGGCCATGCCGGGCACGAATATAAAAGTTTCGTTGTTTCTGTTGTTATATTCAATTCAGCATTTTACACCATCTCTTATCTCTTTCTTACTCGTGGTCTCGAACATTTATCTTCAGATGTAGAATATCCTTTAAGGTTCATATGGACTAAATACCTTTATTATTGGCAACGTGAAGTGAGGGATTTTTGTATTTATAAACCTGACTTATTCATTTTATACAATTTAAAATAAAAATTTAATTCTTCATTTTTGTACATCACAAAATCTTCATAAAATAATGGTAGTGTCCCCAAGAGGGACAGTTGTAAGTCTACGGAGTTACAACGCTAAAATCCGGGGCTAGATTCCCCGCAGCGGACACAGCAGACAGCCCAATTTGGTTTTGCTTTAAAACAAACAAAGAAAATAATGGTACTTGATTCATCTATTAAATCAGGTTATATTTAATACTAAACCATTCTTTCGTCAGAAAAATACGAAAACCACGAAACTTGGTTAACTTAGAAGGTAGAATAACAGAACTAATAGTGAAATAAAGAATGACGACGCTTTTATCTGTGCTTTTCTATTCTTGTACAGCTGAAGAGATGTGTCGAGCTACTGGAAGAAGCTACGAGTATGGCCACTTCAATCTCCCCCAGTCTTCTGTGGCTAATTTTATTAGCCTCTACTATTATGCAGACAAAGAATTAGTGGTAACTGAAAGCGATGAAACGTTTCTAGTGTAAATCCTGGCAGTTCCATGGTATAACATAAACATTTAGAACAGTATGAATACCACCTTTTAAATTATGTAAAAATTATTTGAAGGGTAACTTACAATACAGTAAATTAGAAACAATTAAAAAGTGCTTAAAATGGCGTTAGTTATTTTGTGTAGGGGACACTTTAAAATGGTAACTATGCTGTTTTACAAGAATATAGTGTTATATTTATTCTTAACCCACATATTATAATTCTGTATTACAGTTTAATGTAGCATTACCAAATGTTAAAGAACAAAAATTTAAATATTTGCTCTGAACTATCGTAGAAAACCGTTTAACATTTATTATAATTTAAAACACAAAGCATAAAGATGGTAATGCACAAAAGTAGGCAAGTTTTTAAGAACAATTTGAGCCCGTATGAGTAAACATATCAAAGAGTGTTTTCATAAAACCTTTTCTAATTCAAAATGTTGCTACTGAATTTTCTTCCATTTCACAATACATTCAGACTAGCTGGAGTACGCGTCCTCCCCTGGACGGAAGTTATGTACATTCATGATTAATGAAAGGTTAGTTTAGGACATGAACAGTTGCTTCCCTTATATATAATTGTAGAAAAACGCAAAAAATACCCATAAAAACTGCAAAAATGAAAAGCTAAAAATTTGTATGTATCTCCCCATGGACCCAATGAACCTCCATACCAAATTTGCTGAAGATCCATAAACAGGGGGTGACATAGTGGTAAAAAACGTTCATAAAGACCGCAGAACACAAAATGCAAAACTGAAAATTTATATGTACCCCCCGCATGGACCTAATGAATCTCCATACAAATTTTAGTGAAGATCCAACCACACCCTGCGAAGTAATTACATGGATATTATATTTATATAGATTTACGAAAGTATGAAGCTGCTTTCAGCATGAAAGCTAATCACTTTACTAAACGTACGTAAAGTTGAATAGGATTTTACTGTTTATTGTAATTGCATTCATACTGCTATAAAGCAAAGATTTCATGTTTTTATATCTATGAGAAAAAAAATGCTTTAGATTATTAAAAAGTATATCAACTACACTGACTGTATATGTTAATTTTGTTTATAGCAAAGCAACTAACGCTATCTGTCTTTGACCCTCATTTCCAACCATTGACCAGAGAGAAGGCACACATCATCTACGCAAAGAAATTCACAGCTGAAAGTCCGGGGAATATTTTGTGTTACCCGGCCCGCCAGCTCCGAAAGACGGTATTCTACCACAGAGCCAATTCGAGCCTTAGAACAAACAAACAAACTATTTTATTAACAATCCGACTCATATATTTTTAGAATACTTCATTTACTTGCATATGCAAATTACAGTGTATCAGATGATTGCTTGAGCCAAATAAGTACACAGATGTTAGGTTAGAGTACATGACTTATGGAAAATTAGTTAGGTTAGCCTATGGACCAGTTTCAGTTCTTACTTCTCGATGAATGGCCTGAAATCGAACAAGATACCCCTTTGACACCCTGTTAGTTCTACATGCTACGTCGAATCGAGGTATTATCATGACGAAAAGCGCACTAACTCGATATTGGTGATGTCCTAATATAAACATCAGTCAGTGTAATTATAATGAAATTTTGCAGGTTATTTTACAATTTATGAACTTGTACATGAGTGAAATGACGAATATGTTTTCGAAATTTGGTGATTATTTTTTAAGAAATTAATAATTATCAATAACTATTGCTTGCCTTAGGTGATGACAGAAGAAAAATGCCTACAAGCATGTACTCTGGAGAACGAATTTCTCTGCCGGTCACTTTTGTACTCACCAGAAGCGAGGTATAGTCAGTCCAACTGTGCCTTGTTCCACGTGGATCATGCCACGTTTCCAAAAGGAAAACACATGTTTCTCAATTCCAGTCCGATCCCCTTACTGGATCTCGGCGAACGCAGAGGAAAATATTTAGAGGCTGTTTGTGGAAGTAGGTTTCACAAACTCATCTTCCTGTAATCTTTATAAAAACTTCAGAAGTCTTTACATGTAACACAAATCTGAGAATGTTTAACAGCTAACAGTAAATATATACAGTTTTAATGGCTCTTTAACTTTTCCAAAACTACTGCCTTTTACATAGTCCCTTACAATGTTCAAAACCAAACAACGAAAATACAGATTTTTTTTTATTTTGTCTGTCGTAAGTGTTACCTTACAGGTATATTTTCAAAGATCGAATATCTTCAGGAGCTGCGTACTAGCTATAATCGGAGCTCCTTCTCAATCAATATGTATTCTGTAGCATACATTTCATGTTTAGTTTTGTCTAAAATTCTATTTCGGAACATGTCAAGTTTATTCACGGCCGTTACTGATTCCTTCCTAGGCGTCACTTTCTATAGCAAAACTTGGTCAAACAAGTTATCAGTTGGGATGGTAATTACCTCGTGATGTAAAATTATATACGTATTCTAGGTTGTCATAGAGAACAGAGATACTTCTGGAAAGTACTTTTGTTATTAGTCAGACAGAAAATGATTAATGATAGAAATTTATATGACCAACAATTTTACACCTTACTTTGGACGTTATTATCAGAATTTCTATTATTATCTATTATTATTTCTATTATTATATATTATTATTATTATTTCCGTTATTATATATTATCATTATTATTATCTATTATTATTATTTCTATGATTATCTATTATTATTATTATTTCTATGATTATCTGTTATTATTATTATTTCTATTATTATCAGAATGCCTTAATCATTATTCCTTCAAATAAGCTGCAAAAAAAAAAACAGCTGCAGTTTAGCTTAATTTTTATCAGGTAAATAAGACCACTTAGATTTCAATGTTTTACAAACATTCAACATCACGACTATCGATAAGATCATAAAAATTTGTTTGTTGGTAACCGCCCTCCCCCTCTAGTAGCACAGCAGTATATCTGAGGACTTAAGACGCTATAAACCTGGTTTCGATTCTCGTGATGGGCAGAGCACGGATAGCCAATTGTGTAGCTTCATGCTTAACAACAGACAAACAAACAAATTGTTGCTAATCGCAATGCTGCGTAATTGGCTATCTGTGTTTTACTGTCGCTATAAACCATCAAGCTTATCGTCATAAAATAATTGTCAACACCTCACCCGAAACGTTTTAACGGATTTCATCCAATGTTGTATTTAAATAGGTTCCGAATAGATGATGAAGGCTGTCTAAAACACTGAGGTAGAATTAATAACAGTTATAATTACCGATATTTAAAAAAAAAAGATTGAAAATATACATGTCAACTTTTAAATAAAATTAGTCGAAAATAATGTTGTGCTGAAGAATTCTACTTTTAAAAAAACCTAGATCCGGAAGAGGCCGAGGAAATCAATGGCGTTACTTTCAAAATTCCTCCTTCAATTGATGCTGGAGCTCGGAAGACTTCAAGTTTTCTACTGGCTAATCCCAGCAGTGGTGATCTTTCATGCGATGATCATGGATTTTGTTATGACGGTAATTATTTAATAATATTAAACAAAATGTACACATTTCAACCTTGATTTATCATATCGACTATAATGTTTTATTTATTTCCTTAGATGCTTTTACTTTATATTTAATACATTTATTATTTATCAGAATAGATTGATTAGAAGGTAGTTATAAGTTCCTGATTTGATTGATCTAATTATATATGTATTTGTATATGAACATTATTAAAAACCTACATTTCCCCTTATTATGTGGTTTAGTATCACTTGAGTGCAAGGATACCAAGATGATCGTCTTCGTCCGAACTAATAAGCCATTTCGTGGACGAATATATGCTTTGGGAAGAAGTAGGACCTGTCAAGCTAATGTGTACAATGACAATCAGTTTGAATTGGACGTGTCATTGAAAGGTCAGGAATGTAACACCCAGTCCTCGGTAAGTACAGGAAATCAACCAGAACCTTCACATATTAACGTCAATTTCATAAATTTTACTCTGCAATAAAATGCTATAAGCACAATTTGTTTTTTATCCACACAGTTGATATTAGGTCACTTTTATTACGTTAATATTATTCAGTGTGCTAGGGCTAAGAAATATATGCTGTCGTTACGCCACACATTATAATGTTTGTTTGTTTAATTTCGTGCAAAAGCTACTCGAGGGACATGTGCATTAGCTGTTCCTAATTTTTAACTGATAGACTATAGGGGAAGCAACTAGTCAACACCACCAGTTGCTAACTCTTTGGGCTACACCAAATGAATAGTGCGATTGCCCATCACATTATAACGCCCCCTCCTCCACAGTTGAAAGGACGAGTATTTTCGGTGAGAGAATCAGAATCCGCGACCCGTAGATTGACATTTTTTTTATCTTGGGACACATTTTCAAGGCAGTGTCTGAGAACCTAAGGATGGTATTCCAATGCCTTAGACAGACAGAGTAGGAACTGAAGCCTGGAAAGTGTTCACTATTGTGAATGGATGTGGAGTTCCTCAGCCACATAGTCAGAATAAATAGAGTATCAATGTACCTAGCTAAGAGGCCAAGGTGAGCTAGTCCCAACCCATGAAATATAACATCAAATAGAAATATACTGAAATTAAAACATAGAAAAAAATAAACATGAAGCGGGAAGGATACAGAGAAGGCAGGAAACTGTAATAAAGGGTAATATTTATAATAATGGGAAACACTTAAGCACTGGACATCCTGAAAAAGGGTAATAATGAAAAAAGGTAATAATAATAATAATAAAACAACTGAAATAAAATCAGAACCTTAAACTGAATCTCAGAATGACACATAAAATCTCTTTGGAACGTCATGTAGAATAAAACTCTTAAGCACGACACAAGTCACTTAAAAAACTTTTAAATATATATTCAGTAACCTCCACCTCTAACAAAAAACAGCATAGTAGTACAACTTTCTATCTGACATATGAAATATGACCCTTTAAGATAACACAAATGATGAATTAATGTGAGCATACACATATATCTTCATTTTTGCAGAGCATGTTTAAACACAAAAACTGATGATTTCTGCCACTTTGGCTAGGAGTTGGCTAGCTCTGCCTGTAATCGTCGGGTTATGGTGGTAGTGTTAGGGTCCTGCCTTTCATTCGTCCACTGACGTTCTTTCTCAATAAAGCACGAAGACCTAGGCAGTTCTGTGCTTGACCTTACCAGTAATCTCTTCACTTTATCACTTTTTTGGAGTAGTAAGTATCCCTCAAAGATGCTAGGATTTTGGCTGATGTTGACCAACTGGTTGAAGCATACTCCATGGTTGCTCTGATGGATTCAGTGTGAACTTGCGATAAGTTGCTATGGAGGTGTACTCAGATGCACTCCAAACTGTGAAATCATCGAGATCCAAAGAGTTGAAGGCATGTCTTGGCACATGTGTAGTGGTACCATTGATGTACTTAAGACACAAAACCCGGGAGATTACTCAATCCTGCGAGACTCCTTCTCTCACTTTGACCTGGTCACTGAGGATGCTGTCTACTTTGACCTTGGCTGTTCTGTGTAAAAGGAAGTTCTTTATCCACTTGAACAGTTAGCCCATAACTTCCATCTCTAACATCCGCAGCAAGAGGCCCTTTTTCCAGACATGATTAAAAGCAATAATATTAGCCGCCATTATAATGACTTTGTCTACGTAAACTCATGCAATCAATGGTTCTTGGACATAATTTCATTGGCATTTTATAGTTTTGCCAAAGAGCTGCAGTTTATCTTATACATAGGTTAAACTAAAGGATAGCATCTGCTGGTGCTTGAACTAATGTCTGCTATCACAATTCCTGCACGTCTAGTGAAGGTAAGAACAGTTATTTTGAGTCAAGTGTCGCTGTTCGCTGCAAACTGGCTTCAACTCGCGAGGAAAAAGTCTTTAGCTTACATGATAGTGATTGATACACCACAAGATCAAGTATACACTAAAAAACTAAAGGCCTGATCCAGGCTGCACTAGTTTAAATAAACAAATCTGATTGCATTTTGTTATCTGCCTTCTCTCCTAAGCCTGTTGGTGATATTGATGTTTCAGCTCATTATATATCGCAGAATTAAACCAACTGACAGAAGTTAGTTTTACAATAACTTTTAATATTTTGCATTTTCTCTTGTACAAGCTAATAAATATATATTTTACATTTTGTTTAAAAAGACACAAAATACTAACAAAAACAAACTTTGTTTTGACCAAAGTTTAAAGTGTTTCTTATAAACCACATATTCATGTTTATCTTAAAGTTATGTTTTTATCTAACAGGGAGGAGTCTTCACCAACACTATGGTTCTTCAACATCATTCTCTTGTCATGACCAAATCAGACAAAGTGTATAACATTCGATGCACCTACGAAGTATCATCTAAGAATGTGTCGTTCGGAATGATACCTGTCCGGTAAGTGATCATGGCTGTTTTGGTATGGAATGATACCTGTCCGGTAAGTGATCATGGCTGTTTTGGTTCACAATGATATCTGTCCGGTAAGTGATCATGGCTGTTTTGGTTTGGAATGATACCTGTCCGGTAAGTGATCATGGCTGTTTTGGTTCACAATGATATGTGTACGGTAAGTGATCATGACTGTTTTGTTTCGGAATGATACCTCCCCGGTAAGTGATCATGACTGTTTTCGTTCACAATGATATCTATCCGGTAAGTGATCATGACTGTTTTAATTTTGAATTATATCTGTCCAGTAAGTAATCATAACTGATTTGGTTTGGAATATCTGTCAAGTAAGTGATCATGACTATTTTGGTTCGGAATAATACCTGTCCGGTAAGTGATCATGACAGTTTTGGTTCACAATGATATCTGGCTGGTAAATAATCATGGCTGTTTTGGTTTGGAATGATACCTGGCTGGTAAGTGATCATGACTATTCTGGTTCGGAATGATACCTGTCTAGTAAGTGATCATACCTGTTTTAATTTTGAATGATACCTGGCTGGTAAGTGATCATGACTGTTCTGGTTCGGAATGATACCTGTTCGGTCAGCGATCATGACTGTTTTGTTTCGGAAGGATACCTGGCTGGTAAGTGATCATGACTATTCTGGTTCGGAATGATACCTGTCCAGTAAGTGATCATACCTGTTTTAATTTGGAATGATACCTGTCTAGTAAGTGATCATGGCTGTTTTAATTTGGAATTATATCTGTCCAGTAAGTAAGTGATCATGACTATTTTGGTTCGGAATAATACCTGTCCGGTAAGTGATCATGACAGTTTTGGTTCACAATGATATCTGGCTGGTAAGCGATCATGGCTGTTCTGGTTCGGAATTATACCTGGCTGGTAAGTGATCGTGACTGTTCTGGTTCGGAATTACACCTGGCTCTAAGTGATCGTGACTGTTCTGGTTCGGAATTACACCTGGCTCTAAGTTATCATGGCTGTTTTGGTTCGGAATTATATCTGTCCAGTAAGTGATCGTGACTACTTTGGTTTGGAATGATATCTGTCCAGTAAGTGATCGTGACTACTTTGGTTTGGAATGATATCTGTCCAGTAAGTGATCGTGACTACTTTGGTTTGGAATGGTATCTGTCTAGTAAGTGTGGATGCCTCTTTTGTTTTCTTACATGAGATATAGGCATTGAGGTCAGCTTTCTTGGCCAATAAGATAACTTTGGCATATATATTTTTTCTTTTTTTTGACCAAAACTTGTAGCTTTTTATTTGAATTTTTCGAAGGTGACATTTTATGCTGCATCCCTTAAGTTATTAAATATAGAAAGTATACATTCACATCAGAAAAGAAATACGTAATAACCACAGATTTTTCTTAACCAGTGTGATCGCTCAGATATTGGCTGGAAGAACCATTATCTGTTATTTACTGCAATATTATTTCAAGTACGTTCAAATAGTGTTAAGTCAAACAAGCGTTGTGACTTAACGATTCGAACAGCTATTATAATAACACCTTAATACGGTGAGATGGGATGGAAATATTGAACCCCGTAGTAGCTGGCTTTGCTGCCTTACATAGTAGCATATGAACTATGAATCACACCAGGCATGGGGTGTTATTATAAAGAAACGTGAAGGTACAGTACAGCTAAGCGTTGCTTTCTAAACTTTACATAAAAAATCAATTAATTTATTTCCATAATTGTTAAATTCCTAGAGGATTATTTAATTATTTAAGCATAACCTGACTATTCTCTACTCTTATGTCTTTACAAATAAAAATAACAATACCCGTAAAACTACAACCAGTTGTAACAGGCGATGCAAAAGAACAACAACGTCACACGGATAAAAAAAAAACAATCACATTCAGTGTTTCAGAAAACTAGTTAACTGGAACGGTATAATATTCTTAATCAAGAATTCAATTCTCAATCACAATGTTATCAAGTAATTCCCATAGTGCCTCACCTTTTTTTATACTCATTACCTGGGCCTTGTGAGCTTACATCGATTCAATGGGTATAACATGGCGCGGTGGAGTTGGTTTTGTCACACAAATATAGGATTTTCTCCTTGAAAAACTAAAATACTGTTTTATATTTGATATCTTAGTTCTAGCAGAATATCAAACTGCAAAATTATAAGGAAATTGACTGGAATTGTAAATTTTTCTGTTAGTGATCCGGTTACGACACAAATTACTGGTGCACCGGAAGCTCCACTGCCATCAATCCACATTCTGGATGAAAGTGGTAGAGAAGCAACAACTGTACGAATTGGTGACAAGCTGACCTTCAGGATTGAAATCCCAGAAAACAGTATGTACTTTTGAGACAAAACAATTTTTTTACAGATAAATTTAGAGACTATCCTCTGTAAATAATGCAAATTTTGTATTATTTAACAGAATAAAACGTACGATTTTATACGAAACGCAGAAAATCAGTTCGATTAAGTAGTAGTGATATTAAATGGTTTAATTTTTGTTACACATCCAATATCATACTCCTGCACTGTGAAAGAGTAGACAAATATACCCATCACCATCTTCGTTCCACGTGGTCATTTTCTTTCCATACATCCTTATATTATCGATACTTCTTCTCAAACTAAATGCTTAAGCGAGATCTTTATTTGCTTTCTTATTTTTCAAACAAACATCTTTTATTTTGCACCATCTCTGATACTTCATTCTTCGCCAACCTTCTCCCCCAGTGGCACAGCGGTATGTCTGCGGACTTACAACGCTAAAAACCGGGTTTCGATACCCGTGGTGGGCAGAGCACAGATAGCCCATCGTGTAGCTTTGTGCATAACTGCAAACGCAAAATCGTCAAGCTCGAGTTTCAAAACTCACCACACTCCATACATGTGTTTTAAAAAAGGTTGTAATCAGTCTAATTTTCGACATTCTGTTCAATAATTTTGTTTAAAAAAGTTTATATTTCCAAATGTTTCTTTTCCCAATTCTTGAGTTGATTTTATGGCGCACATTCCATCTGCTACTATAATAACCCTTAAATAACACAACTGTTACACTTCATCCAGTTGTTGTTCATTCTTCCACTTTAATTTCTTGATATCTTCATCACTTTTGTTTTCTTAAAGTTGATTTTCATACCTAACTCCTTTAATAGTTCGTATAATTTGTCTACTCAATTGTATAACTCTTTCTCGAAATGTGCAATCAAAGTCATATCAACGGCAAACCTGACCGCCATACTGAAAACACTGTTTAAAAAAAACATCAATATATTTTGATGATATATTTAGAGTTTCATTTGTATTACATATTTAACTATAGAATTATTCAATCATTATATTTCCACACACACAAAATATATTAATATGAACTACAAATGAACGTTGTTCGGAGTGATTCAGGATGAACGTCCTAGTTCACTTGTGCCCGCCTTCATCTGGTGTAAACGTAGGTGTTCCATCTATCAAGGACCACTTTTACTAAAGCTTACTCTCGTATAAAAGTAAAACAATGGATTATCTTCTGCTTAAAAAAAAATCTCTGAACGTCATTTGTATAAAACAGATTCTAAAATAAACAAACAAACTGCCCTTCTAAGCCTGACTCAGAAACGTATTAAAATCACGAAATATGTAAATTATAATTTTTCAAGACAAAAACAAATGTGGACTTTAATGTTGGTTGAGTTGATAGCTATCAATATCTGTAGGTGTAAATAGGGCCTTTGTATGAGAGAACATGTTTTCTATTATCAAATTGTGTCCATATATGTATAGAAGATATTTGAAAGATGTCACGTCAGTCTAATATTTCATCCAAATGCACCCTTCTTAGTAAAATTTACAAAAATTCTGGACCACCGTTATAGATTCGCCACTCGTTTCCTTTTTTCTTCAAACGTATTACTCTCGTTTATAGATTTTTGCCAACGCCTTTGAGATAGAATACAATATATTGTAATTATTTACGGTGTAAGTAAAAGATTGAGATTATCAGATGTTAATATTTTTCTCATAATTAACATCGTATGTTCTACGTAGCGCCCTATGGCATCTTTGTGAGAAGTTGTACAGCTATGGCCAAAGATGGCAAAAGCGTCTTCAAGATTATCGACGACAAAGGGTAAGAATCTCTTTTTTTTTATGGCTAGTAAGCAAAAACACTGTTTCTAAAACTTTGAAATAATATCTACATAATAGAAAGTAGATCGTCTCCAACGGTCTTGTGGTATTTTGTAGTAAAAAAAAATAAACGCATGTCGTTGAGAGAGGTTCTGGTTGGCTTTTTCTTCACCTGAAGCTCCATGGAAGCTCTTGGTATATTTTACATTAGAATATTGAATAACAGTTAACTAGCAAAAGGTATTTTAGACGCATCTTGTGAAATTTTCATTCCGAAAAACAAAATTAGGGCCCGGCATGGCCAGGTGGTTAAGGCAATCGACTCGCAATCTGAGGGTCGCGGGTTCGAATCCCTCTCACACCAAACATGCTAGCCCTTTCAGCCGTCGGGGCGTTATAATGTGACGGTCAATACACGAGGGCTATCTGCGCTAGCCGTCCCTAATTTAGCAGTGTAAGACTAGAGGGAAGGCAGCTAGTCATCACCACACACCGCCAACTCTTGGGCTACTCTTTTACCAACGAATAGTGGGATTGACAGTCACATTATAACGCCCCCACGGCTGAAAGGGCGAGCATGTTTGGTGTGACGGGCATTCGAACCCGCGACCCGCAGATTGCGAGACGAGCGCCCTAACCACCTGGCCATGCCGGGCCAAATTAAAAGGAAAACAATAATACTGATAGTTTCTAATACGTGTAGCTTTCAATCATGAATTATGTGATTTTCTGTTTGATTCTATTCGAGTATATAGAAGTAGTGAATACACAGTACGCTAGTTTATTAGTTAGTCTTGTTTGGATATTCGCGAAAAGCTAAATAAGGATTATCTGCATTAGCCGTCAATAATTTTGAACTGAAAGACAGGAGGAAAGGTAGCTAGTCCCCCCCCCCCAAATTTGATCTACTCTAATAGAATAGTGGGATTTGACCGTCATTTTTATAACGCATCCACGGTCCCATGGTACGGAGCGCGATTTTGCGGCAACGGGATGCGAACATTGGACCCTCGGATTCACAGTCAGACAAACTATTTACTGGGACACGCCCGGTCCTTTGCGGTAAGAGAAAGATTTGAATTTTCCAATTCAATACATGAGATCGGCTACTAGATGGCTCTCCATTCGTTTAAAGGGTGTTAGTAAAAAATCTGAAGATAGCACCAAAATATATTTTCGCATCCAGTTATCAAAAATCAGTGTCACCCCAACCATCTCCTCTTTCTGGCTCTGAACCCCAACATCATGCTCTTGTCGTTTTAGCTCAGAACTACGCAATAGACTATCTGCGCTCTGTCCATCAAGAGGAATGGAGCCCTGGATTTTAAGTTTTAATTCTGTAAATTTACCTTTGACCCACACAGAAAAAAAAACTCTCCCAGTATTGTCCTACGTATGAAAAAAGTTTATTATCATCCAGTAATTCTGAAAGATGTTACCGTACTAAGTATGGTAAATGATGGGATGCAACAAAGAATTCAGGAGAGACTCTCATTTGCCAAATTGCTACTAGGATCTTAATTACTAATATTTAACTCTACCTTTACATGCACATCAAACTTAATTCAAATATTGAGCAAGGAAACTCCAGACTTACTCTTTCAGTAAAAAGCCATGGTTTGTGTCCCATTCCCTCAAAAAATCATGCTTCGCACTTTAGGCCTTGGGTGCGTTATAAGAATGACGATAAAATCCAACAGTTTGATTAGAGTATCCCAAAAGTTGGCGATGGGTGGTGTTGACTAGCTGCCTTCCCTCTGTTCTATCAGATCAAAATTATAGACGATTAATGCAGTTAGCCCTTTTGTAGCTTTGTGTGAATATTCGAAACAAACCAAGCCCTTTCTAAATTCAGGCTCGTTCTCCCCCCCCCCTTTTTTTGTCTTTTTGTGATTATAAGTATAGTTTACTAATTATCATATCTATAGCTATTGAATCATTATAATTAACACGTGTCTAGTATTAAAAAAAAGAAGAAGAACATAAACCATTTTTACAATTCAAGAGCAGTTCTAAGCTTATAAATGATACATTTCAAAGTCACGGTTAATCTGATTATTTCGGAAAGTGATTTTTAAAAAAACATCTTTCCAATTCCTCGCATCTTTGTTTTCTCTCGTAATTTTAGTGGTGAGACTGTGAAATGATATTTGTGCATGTATCAATAACCAGAAAATTACATAACTTAATTAACTTAGCATCAGTGTCTGTTTAGTGACGTACTAGTATGACTTAGACAAACTACGTTTTTGCACAAACATGTATATATATATATA